ATGCATCCGAAGAAGTGGGCTGTAGTCCACGAAAGCTTATGCTCTAATAAATTTGTTAGTCTCTAAGGTGACACAAGTACTCCTGTTCTTTTAGTGGAAGTTTTAGTTAAGGAGCTATCTTTCAAACTTCCAGTATGTGAAAGCAAAAATATAAGTTAAATGTAAGACTTGCAAAGGTTACTTTTGTAAGAAGAGTAAAATAAAAATATAAATAGCTAAAAATTGTATGTTAAATAGTAAGAAAGCATTTAAATCCTCCATTGTAAAGCTTCATTCTTCCAAGTTCTATTAAGTGTTTCTTTTCTCTTCCCTGATGACATCTTTGCAGAGTCTGCTTTCTGTAGATTCTGGGCTGTTTTTATAAACAAAACAAACAAACAAACAAAAACACTTCCCTTTCACAGGACAGCTGAATTACACGTTCAGCAGTTGTGTGTTACAAAACCAATGTCACGTTCCAGAAAACAAAAAAAACAGACTCCTGACATGTGGTACCTGAAATTTTAACTTTCAAGTTCACAATCACCCCTTTGAACATTAACATGGAATCAGCGGGAGATTTAATATATATATATATATATATATACACATATACATACACACACACACACACACTGAAATCCACATATATACGCCGCATAGAAGACTTGCAAAAACTTCCGCAGTACAGCATCAACTATATTCAAGGTGAAGCTGGTAGTAAAGTTCCTAGGCATTATCCCACCACAGGATCTCACATATTTATACATACTAGATCTCCCACTATTTGTAACTTACCATTTAACTATTCCTGCAACAATTTCCCCCTAAATATGGAGTACTGGAGAACCACTAAATTGTCTATAAAAGATTAGCCACCACCACAATAGATTTTAACATACGACACAAAAGAGGGATGCACTGTGTGTGTGTGCGCACGCACATGCAGACACAGGTTTCTGTTTATTCCCTCCCCAATGGATGCTTTAGAGAAACATGGCTAGAAGTCAAAAATACTAGCTTGTTCTAAAGTCTTTTTGAGAAGGAGAGAGAGAGAGAGAAAGGGTTGTGACTATAATTTAAGGACAGTATTCCCCTACCACCCACCCACCAGATTAGACAATGGCATAGGTTCAAATAATGCAACTTCAACAAGATTAACAAATTGCTATATACAAAACATTCCTAATGTCAGTCATTTACCAGCGTCCTATTTCAAAATTTATTTTCAGTTTGTCTCATTTCTTAAAAGGATATATCAAATGGTTCTTGAGTTTTTAAAAATTCAATCATTTTGTGCCACTTCATACTTTCTTTTTATAATGTTGAGAAGTTGGGAGTCCAACATGTGTCAGGTTTTCTAGGCTCAATTTTAATGCTATTGTGCTATTCTACTCTGTTACTCCACCGAGAGCCAAAAAGACCACCACCAAGATCTTTTTATTCGATCATTTCACTATCACATTTCCGAAACAAAATGCACATGATGAAGGGGAAAGAACCACTTACTGGCTGCTGTTGCAACTGGCTGGGCAATGTTCGGAGGTGGCTTCAATTTCATTAGTTCATTAAGACTATTGTTTTTGAGCAGATCTTTCAGCTGGACCTGGTCCTTTGAAGGTGTAGTGGTCAAGGCATTGCGTACTGCTGGTGCTGCAACAGATGGTCGAGTAGTTGTGCTGGTTTGAATGATTTTTGCTACAGTGATGGTCTGCCTAGTAGTTGTCACAGGTGTGGTTTTTGTCATTACTATTGTAGTCCCCAAAGTTGGAAGCTGATTTATTTGATTCAGCACAAAGGTTGTGGTTGATGGTGGTTGCTAGAAAACAAAAACAAAAACTTAAGATTTTCCTGTTTTGGAAATATCATCCTTATAATTCTCAAAGTGACAATACTCAAAAAGCAAAACTTGTGTTATATGCCTCTCAGCTAGAGGACAGGAGGTATCAATTTAAGCTGTGTGAGGGGGTTTTTTGTTCTTAAAGCCGGTGGACTATCAATATTATCTTTCCATCGCACAACTAACTGATGCTAGAATGCCATTTTATTTCAGGATGTGGAAGCCCGAGAAAGAAGCTTCTACCAAAATGCAGGAGTGTTGCTTCATGGGAGGATCCAGCTCCACATGATTTTTTCCCCAAAGAGAAAAGGAAAGAACAGGTAAGAAAGAGAAGGATTTCACCATCCAGACACAAAGTACATCTGCTGTGTGGAGACGCTTGGGTTGTAGAGAAATCTTACAAACTGCACAACATGGTTTTACAGTTAGTTAATAAATAAACTAATATCTATTTTAAAACTTCTTTTTCTGTGCAGATTCTTTGTTAACCCTACACTCCAGATATTGATCTACTACTTTATATCGTCTTCTAGTAAGATAAAGATTATCTTGTTCATAACTTCTATGTTAACTGATCTTCCGCATAATACGTCCAGAATTCTCAGTCTCCCAATTTAGGATAATATATGGTACCTAAAAGCATCAGGTTTAATGGCATCCTTAATGTACTCATAAGAAATGAAACTGGGCTCTTCCTTAAACAACGTTTCCCTTTAAATCTTGCTTGATCTAAGACATGGCATCTCTTACACATCATGCCAACCCTTCAAAAGTGAGTTTTACTGAAAAAGCCAGAAAAGAATTTGACTGTATTACGAATTATACTGAAGGGATGGCAAAGAGCCAACAATTTATAGGCCTTCCTCACTTTTTCACTTCACTATTTTACACATACAAAACTCTAAATATGTCAGCTCTTACCCTGACATTTAATAGTGCTGGAGTAGATACAGTCTCTGGTTCTTGTTTAACAGCAACTGTTGCCTCAGTCTCCAAGCCTAGTTCTAATGCACTAAGTGGCACTGACTAGAGAGAAAGAAAGCAAGCACGATCAGGTACTAGTTTTAGTAGGAAAAAAAGAATGAAAACCTTTACTACTATCCCCTCCCGCACCTTCCCATGTTAAAACTAATGACCAACTCATTTGCTTTGCCTGTTAATAATCCTAGTTTTATTAGAAATCAAGTTGGTAGCACACCAAGTCATTGACTCTGCCCCCAAAATTGCTTCAAGCATAAAGCCTTTCCAGTTAACTGCTCTGAAAACTGAGTGAGTTCTGCAATTTCATTTCTGTTGACAGACTACTGTTTTCATAGAATCTTAGACTAAGGTCAGAAGGGACCATTATGATCGTCTAGTCTGACCTCCTGCACAACGCAGGCCACAGAATCTCACCCACCCACCCCTGTCTATGTCCAAAAATGTGTTCCATTCTTGTGGTGTGTAAGTTGTCATAGAGATTAAATCAAATATTAAATTAATTCTCTCTTTTTTCAGAGGAGAGGAAAACCATGCAAGATATATCAATGGAAGTTCTATGTGTGGATACATGACATTGTGGCCCTAGAAAGTATATATAACTCATATTGATACAAGTTCAGTCAATAACGTATATACTTTTGATTTCTAAAATACATATTTAAGACAGGTGATTACCATCTCCATTTTTTCCATACACAAGCCCAGCACAGCAATGAAAACATACAATTCCACTCTTTCACAATACACCTCTACCTCGATATAACGCTGTCCTCGGGAGCCAAAAAAAAATCTTACCGTGTTATAGGTGAAACCGCGTTATATCGAACTTGCTTTGATCCACTGGAGTGCGCAGCCCCCCCCCCGCCCCCCGGAGCACTGCTTTACCCCGTTATATCAGAATTCGTGTTATATCGGGTCACCTTATATCGGGGTAGAGGTGTAGTTAAACCAAAAAAAAAAAAAGAGTCTATGATTCTATATTATGCAATCTTGGCTAATTTTAAAAGGTTCTCATTTTTAACCTGCTGAACAGCTGGCACTGGTGTTGCAAGGCCCATGTCCGCAGGGTCAATATCAAACAGATCATTTGGACTGATTCCACTCTCACTCAAAGCAGCAAGCAACAGATCTTGTCCTGGCTCCACCATCTCTAAAAACAAAAATAAAGAAGACCACAGGCATAAGTTACAATTGTAATCATTGTTTATTCTGCAAAACCTTTAGAATTTTATATTTCATCATCTGATTTTTAAGGGCACAGTCAAGTTAGTCACTTTCATAAAACAAGTTTCAGGTTCTAAATCTGTCCAGAGTCTCTTGACAATTCTTGTGGTTTTGTGCTCAATTTTCCAAATTTAAAAAATATTTCTCACGTACAAGATCCCCATAAATGGGGGAACCAATGAAAACCTAACTATACACAAGATGCTATTAAATGCACACAGTAAACAAAGTGAAAAAAGCTTTCTTCTAGCCTTTGTCTTGGTAATTGTAGGAGTTTCAAGTAATACTGGTAGGCAAAAAGTGGTGAGATGGAAGTGCAATTTGTGTTGTGTCCCTTTAAGAACAGCCCCTAAAGCATATTGCCTAAGCAGGGAGAAGTACTTAGGTAGTAGTTAAAAATAATTGGCTTGTTTAGCCTATAACAATTCTGTACCTGCTTAATGAGACAAGAATTCAGGAAAAGTCAGTTAATTTAAGTAGTTCTAGAAATACTTGTTTTATACTAAACTAATAAGCTTTTAGTTTTTGTACCATACATGAATTTGAGAGGATTTTTTGCATAGTGGGCAGGATAGATGGTCAAGTGCTGTATTTAATGTATGAAGTCACCAAATATTAGTAAGGGACACTGAGCAAAACGTAGGCCATGGGCTTTTCATGTATAGGATAGCTGTTAAGTTTTATACCGTCCTGGAGTAAATTAAGAAGTCAAATACTCCATGTTTTTTGAGAAAAGGGGAAGCCCAGTTACTAGAAGTCATAATACAAATATCCCCTTTCATTCCACAAAGGGACTGAGTTTTTGCTCAAACATTACAGTTACTCACTTTTCTGTATAGGTTTGCTTGCACTCCTAGAGTTTACTCACTGTTGACAACAGGTGTCTGCACTGTGTAGCTTAACTCTGTTTAGCTGTAAGCATAGAAAAGGACAAAACATTCAGCATTGTTTCAGAAACATGGTTTTATCCAAAGTTTTCAAAACAATGCTAAGCAGTTTATCCTTGTCTGCACTAATAGCTAAGATATGTTCAAACACTTGGTTAACAGCACCTACACTGCTGACAATTGCCAGAACAGGTAACAGACAAAGCTCAAAGATCCAAAATTCTTGTGCTCCCTAGTTCTAGACTGCCCATTGTTGAGGAGATACCTACCCTTGTCTAGTAATACAAGAGGTACTGGCAAAGATTGTGGTGTCAAAACAAAACAAAAAAACATGCCGGAACAAACTGATAATGTAAATTCCATCAATCAGTTTAAGAATGAAGTTAGTAACTATTACCATAGTGTCTAGGAGCCGTAGTTAAGGATAAGGACCCCACTGTTAGGTGCTGTACAAACAGAACAAAAAGATGGCCCTTACCTAAAGGAGCTTACAATCTAAGTATAAAACAAGAGAACAGATGGACACAGACAGGGGAGCACAAGGAAACAATGTTGGTCAATATGACAGGCAGTGATTTCACCACACCAACAGCCTGTTAATTTTTTTGTAGTCTCATGGTGAAGGAGCGCTTTAGGAGGGTTTTGGAGTTGCATAATGAGATATCTTTGTGGATTTTTACAGGTAAAACTGCCCAAGCAAATGGGCAGCATGGGAGAAGACAGGAATGTGCTTGTTTGAAAATATAACAAGTAGACAAGCAAAAGCTGGCATTGACAGCTCAACAGCAAATGAGATAATAGGTAGGATGGGGACTGACTGAAGGGCCTTGGAAGTGAATATGTTTGATATGTTAGAGAAAGGGGAGCCAGTGGAGGAATTCAAAGAGGGGGTGACATGCTGGATTGGATTGGAAAGGCCAAAAAGGAGGATGTTGCAGTAATCAAGATGCGAGTTTACATGATAGTTTTAATTGTGGAGATGAATAAGAAAGGCTGCATCTTAGAGATGTTATGCAGAAAAAATAGACAAGACTTAGACACGGCCAAAATGTGAGGACAGCGAGAGCCCCAAATTGAAGAGGACACATCCAGATTTAACTGTCAGTAAAACCATATAATCCCATTAAAGCCAGATACTACTACAAAGTATTACAGGGTAACAAATATTGTACTTTAAGGCATTCAGAGTGATCTGGAGAATTACAGACCGGTAAGCCTTACCTCTGTACATGGTTTAATTAAATATAAGATACCTAGAACACCATGATGAGGAAATCTAGTCAGCACTGCTGCTTTCTCAGAGAAAAATCATCTCACTAGTCTTTTAGAATTATCTGAATAAGTCAATAAATTACTAAAAGAAAAAGGTGACAATTTAAACTTTCAAAAGGCCTTTGACCATCCTTCAAAAGGGGCTACTAAAAAAAACTAAGTAGCCAGTTTAGAAACTGGATTAAAGTAAAAATCAAAGTAGGAAAAAATGGTTAATTTTCATCATGAGAAAAGGTTAACAGTAGAATGCCACATTTATAAATTAACTGGAAGAGGGTGGGAGTAGCAAGGCGACAAAGTTTGCAGAAGACAATGTTTAGTCAATACTGGAGAAGTTCCAGGAACTTCAGAGAGAACTTCACAGCGGAAGAAGTTGTTCTATGTGGACATATGCAAGCAATGCAGATTATTCCTTCAATGTGAACTACTCACACACTTTACTGGGTTCTAAGTAAACTATCAATTCAGAAAAGAAACCTGAGTATCACCGTTACTAGCTCAATGAAGACTTCTGCTCAATGTGGCCAAAAGAGCAAACAAACAGGGAGAGACTAAATGAGGAAATCATAATGGAATTCTACATATCAACAAAATGTCCCCACCTGGAATACTGTTTTGGTCACCCCAACTCTATCAGGAGATGGCGGAAATAAAGTAAGTTTAGAGACAGGTGACTAGAATGATTAAGCACAGGGAAAATCTCATGAAAGGCAACTGAAAAGATTGGGACTGTATCTTCAATTGGAGTTGAGTGAGAGGGGACATTATAAAAGTCTGCAAAAATAATGAATGGGGTGAACAGAAGTTTTCAATCTATATGGGGTGATTTAGATGGGACAAAGCCAAAATTGCGGAAGGGGGGGAAGGGGGGACTTTCCTACATAATGAACAATTAGTCCGTGGAACTCAAAGCAAGACATTTAAAAGTTTAGCATGTATATTAAGAATATCCTGGGTTATAAATATTAAACAAACAAACAAGAGTTTTGGAAGATATAAATACTCATGCTTGAGTATAAGCCAACAACTAAAAGGGCTAGGAAGAAGCTTTCCCTGGGGGCAAGTTATCTCATACCTGCCTACTGCAGGGCCTACAAAGGATGACCACTAGTTGGAACTAGTATAGCAATTCATATGTTCTTAGAATAACCAAGTTTAGTTTTATACTCACCCTTAGATAATTTAAGCACTCCAGCTGTATGATCACAGTAATCTCCAAAAGACATCCCAATTGCCACTCTCCTTCATATATTTCCCTTAAAGATATCTGTTGCTAACAATTTAGATTGAGTGAAAGAACTGTGACAGTTTACTTGCATGGCATTCAGTTTGGACGACTCTGGACTAGTTAGTTTCAGTAATCTGGTTCCTGAATAATCAGAATAAAGTTATAGTGTTCTGGTTGCAAACACTAGGGTAATACCGAACTCCTGACATTGTGACTGACGTTAAAAACATTCAATAAATAATAGCTAATCTTCTGTTTTGTGAAACTTAACCCACAAAACTAAGCTCAATATGTAAGTTTCAACTACTCAGTTTTGCATTAATTTAGAATCCAAAAACACAACAGAAGTACATCAGAAAAAGCTACATCTTAATACCTTATCATTTATATTCTTACATTCATGTAGTCAAACCTAAAACTAAGCTAATCAAGTCAAAATACAACTCCATAATTTTTACAAAGTATAATGCTTTTGAGTAAGCATAAGCAAAAGTTACTTTATCAAGCTCTGTGGCTCAAGTTGTGCAATACTATAAAAGGCTGTTTCTTGCATCCCAAAATCCACACAAAAGTTACTTTAAAAAAGTTGACGATATTGCAAGATGTTCCCTACATTTTTCATTGTTGAATCTTGTTTTAAAAAAAGCTGTAGTCTGCAATCTATCCCAATACTACTAAGCAACAAGACCCAACCTGTTAGAAGAATCACAAAAAAAGCTGAAGCACAAAACAAAAAATTGTTATACAACTACTAGATACCTTGACAGCAGTGGTACAACTCACTTTTTCTAGAAAGCACAAAGAAAAATCCAAGTTACTGTCATAACAAAAAAAATGCTACAAAAATGGCTCAGTACACATTTTGTATGATGTGCTGTGCTGTGCCACCACAAAACTATTTTTTCAAAGTAAAAGAGGGTTTCATTAACATTATGTATTACATAAACCAATTCTTCTCAAGTCATGCAAAAATAAGCTTCTGATTTAAGATCAAAACACAACTGCCAGTATTCTCAATGCCATTTTTATGTCATACATCTGTGCCAACCTGCCAATCTTTGTCTCGCACCTTCCCTGTTTTAGCCTTGGTGGAAAGTGCAAAAGCAGCAGCATAAAACTAAGATAGTCAGAAACAGATGTCCAGCCTACTTTTTTCCCCCAGAAGGAAAGAAGGGTGGTGGTAACTTCAAGCCCAGAAAGATTTTCCATTTAAAAAAAAGCCCCCCTACAAGTCACATAACACTAAATATACCATTACATTTTTAGAACTTCTCTATTCATAAATTGCATTCAACTGTGTGTTTGCAATTGCCACAGTCAATCTGCTATGGCTTCCACCAAACCCTCCAAGCCACTGGCTAATATTTAAAGCACTGATGTCTATGGCATATCCCCTGTGAATCCAACATCTCACACTATGTGGAATACTAAAAACCCAAGGTAACATCTTATTGTCAACAGTGCTGACAGCCTTTGCTCACCCTTTAACACTAAAATCCTTGCTGTAGCTTCCACACAAACTTTCTCCCTCTCCACCTCCAGTTGCTACCATACACAGCATAAAAATGCAATGAGCAGGCCTAAACAAAACAGTGAAAAATAAACCAGATTTGTAAATTTGTCAGACCATTTTAAACTGTATCCCTTTCCATTTCAACTGATTAGCCCAGTGGTTTTCAAACTTTTCTTTCCTGGCAACCCAGTTGAAGAAAATTGTTGATGCCCGTGACCCAACGGAGGTGGGAAGGAGGGGCTCAGGGTGTGGGAGGGGCTCGGGGCTGGGGCAGAGGATTGAGGTACAGGGGTGAGGGCTGTGGGGTGGGGCCATTAATGAGGGGTTCAGGGTACAGGAGAGGGCTCTGGGTTTGGGGGGGCTCAGGGCTGGGGCAGGGAATTGGGGTGCAGGCTTACCTTGGGCAGCTCCCGGTCAGCAGTGCAAGGGGGTGTTACGGCAGGCTTCCTGTCTGTCCTGGCACTGCCAACAGGGCTGTGCTCTGGGAGCAGCCAGCAGCAGGTCCGGCTCCTAGGCAGAGGCGCGCAAGTGGCTCCACGCTACTCTCACCCACAGGAACCATACCCCGTCCAGGTGTTCAGGGCGGGGGCAGTGCGCAGAGCCCCATGGCCCCTCTGTCTAGGAGCCAGACCTGCTGCTGGCTGCTTCTGGGATGCAGCGCGGTGTCAAAACAGGTAGGGACTAGCCTGTCTTAGCTAGGCAGCACCACCGACAGGACTTTTAACAGCCTGGTCGGCGGTGCTGACCAGAGCTGCCGCGACCCAGAGCCTTACATTCCACGACCCAGTACTGGTCACGACCCGCAGTTTGAAAACCACTGGCTTAGCCCATTCTTTAACAGGATCCATGACCTTTTAAGAATGCATCTATTTCAGAAAGAACTTTTTAACAGATGTAACTTCCCCCTCAAATAAAAAGGTTGGGATATCATCCATTTTTTTTTAATTCATAGTGACTGAAAAAGGTGAGAGCTCTTTTCTCAACAAAATTTAAGAGCATTTCCATGTTAAGTGATTATTCTCCCTAGCAACCTTTGTGGTGTGCTGTCAGAGTTAACCGGACCTTGAGGCTCATTCGTTAATTGTTTCTGTTTGAGGCATTCAATCCCACCATTGATCCCAGATGGTTGCAGGAACCCTTGAGCACTTTGCTCGCTATTCACACAAACATTAACGAACATGTTCCTCTCACTAAAGGGTCAGCAACCCTCAGCCTCCTAACTTTGTCCACAACCTCGTGTGCAGGCCATACTGCCCGCTGTGGGTATAACTGGCTGTGTAATTGCGTCCCATAAACAAAAGTAGTTTTCAGCTCTCCAAAACCTTAAGAATTCCCTTAACAACAGCATTAAGTTTACAGAGATGGTAGGAGTTTCTACAAATAGAACATTTAAAGCCAGTGAACCACCAAAGATCAAATCTTTTCCCGCTAGTCTTCTCCCATCGCTAGAGAGGCTCTATTTGTAACAATTAACATTTTCCAT